GACCTCTGAAACTATGAGCCCTCAAATTTCTCTTCCTCCTCTGCAATTGTTCTGATAAGGTGTTTTACGTCACAGCAGCAAAAAAGCTGACTGAAACTGGGGCTGCAGGCAGTTCAGGTAATATTGTTTGGACGTTGCTCATTCGAAAAGGAGTAAAGTATTGATGGTCCTGAGGTCCTAAAATTGTGATGAAAGCAATCAAACAACTGTATAGCTGGGAGTAGGAAGGCAACCCCAAATTTGGCAGACTCGTTAGAACAAGCGATCTCAAGTCAGAAACAAATGGTACAAACAAAATCTGTTTTGTCTTTGGATTGATGGAGCTCAGTGTACAATGTGTTTGAAATTAGACCTATATTTGCCTGCCTCTGGAACTACAGCACCTCTCCCATTTTTTATGATTTATCCAATGGTAATCAATAGTAGATAAACAATTTTATTTGCAAATTCCCTAATATTATGGGATGGAAACCCCTCCAGGGATAAAACTGGAATATTTTAGAAGAGTATGGTTCAATATCCTGAGGTTTAGCTGTCTAAAAACTCCACCATTTATGGAGTGAATATCATTGCTCTTGATGAGAGACCAGATTTGCCTTAGATTTTAGTCACAGAGCATCTGAAATCCTAAAGACAAAGCCCGACCTGGAGGACTTCTCTTCCAGTTTGAAATGAACTACCTGCCATACTGGTCACCTACACAGAGCTCCTACACCACTTAAGGAAGAAGAATAACACTGAACCTGTCCCTAAAGGATTTAAGAGCAAAACTGGGAAGGGAAGCAACGAGGCTTCCAAGCATCTGAGGGAAGGGGAAGCCCTGTTAAGTAGGCCACTGAGAGGGGAGAAAGGAATAAACTCAAAATTATTGGGTAAGACTAAAAAGTGGAACAATCCGATGGAACTGGAGGGCTGTTTACAGTTACACGTTAATGCTCTGCAGCCCCAACTATTCTGGTATTTCTTCTGCAATACCCCTGGACACATCACCATCACTTATCTAATGATAACCTGCAATTCACTTGATCTCAGGACAGTGTACTTTTATCTTTCCTCTATTGGAATGTGGGACTTAAGAGGTATTTATAATCACATGACCTGCTCACACAGGACAGGAGAATGTGAACCTGAAGGAAAGGTAAAGACAATTTGATCAGAGCTCTTGGCATGGCATAGACCTTGCAATAAATTGCTGGAGCCTTACTCAGCAAGACCTCCAAATTAGGGGCACAAACCCAAAGTCCCAGGACAAGCTGATTTCACCAGCCTCTCCTCAGACACTCCTCAGCCAGTCATCCCTACCATGTGGTTTGATGTGGAAATAAAACTTGGACCACTCTTGCTGGTAAGAAGAGGCTGTTTTCATTCTCCATCCCCCCCGCCCTTCCCCGTGTCCAGCTACCATAAAAGCTTCTAAGATTCTGTAGCCAGACCTCTTTTCACTGCCTTTTAAGTTACTCCAGGGCTCCAAAAGTCATTGCTACGAAAAATGTGGCCCTGACCTGGGCAACATAACACAGTCAACTAAAGAATGATAGGAGCAATTCATCAAAATATCTTATAGAGCAAATCATAGCAGCATGAGAGCCCTAAACCTGGGAGCATCACACACAAAACTTCACCAAGGTGAATGCCTTAAATGCCATAAAATACCTATTGCCAGTCACTCCACCATTAGAATCAAGTCTCTGAACCACACGCTGGCTCACATCGTACCTCTACTTTACGATCTCCGTTCTGTGGAGCACAACACTCAAGTTCCTGCACGATCCTGTCCTAACTTAGTTTTCTCGCCTTCTAGATTTTTTTTATGGCTAATTAGACACTTTACATGCATTGATTCATTTAATTCTCATAAAATCCCATTTATAGATAATGCTTGCCTTCTAGTTTGCCACTACACTCCCACTGTTCCAGTCAAACCATCCTCATATCTGAATGACCACTAGTCAACTGTGCTGCAGAGATGACACCACATCAACTCACACAGCACCATAAAAACATACTGACTTCCATACTATCTTAATTCAATGAATCTCTGATTTCATAAACCAAGAATTCTGAATTTTTTCTCATTAACGTGCACATCACAAAGGTACAGGAAAATTCAGATTCATACTAAAAATCAATCAAGGGCTGATTATTTGGCATAGTAAAGAAATATCTTAAATAGCAAACTCCCTTAGTGCTTTTAAAATGGGATTTGGTTTTCAATAAAGGCTTGCATACAAAAATTTTAAGCATATATCCATTCGTCGGCTGTTCCTGGTTCCCATCAATATGGCCCACAAGCGATTAAGAAACTAGAATCTGTCTTCACTACCTCATTTCATGAGAACAGTGTACATCACAACGGGAAAAAAGAGAAGGGAAGAGGAAGAATGAAGAGGGGGAAGAAGCATTTTGTATTTTATCAAATACAAGTTACTTCACAGTGCTGTTGGGCTTGTGCTGTTTTACCCACAATGTCACTGCCACTGCCACCCCCTGCCCCCAGCACCATGTAGTCTTCAAGCAAGGGCGTAATGTGGTCGCTGCTGCACGTGCTGATCTGGGTTCAGATGCTGCATGAAGGGCACAGGCTGTGGCTGTGGTGCAGAGCAAGCTCACTAGTCCTCCCAGATTAAGGGCCGGACCTTGGCCTTTTATCATTAGTATTCTGTAGACTGCCAGCCAAAAATGCATGTTCTAGGAGACAGAGGAGGCCAGGGTTTTACACCGTAAGGCTGACTTCACAAGCACCCAAGGGCAGACAAGCAGGGGCTTATAAAGAAAGTATTACTGGATCTGCAGTAAGAATCCTACATAGTTTATCTAACAGAGGAGTTACAATTATCAGAGAATAAATTTACAGCTAGTATTAACAATTCTGTCAAATAAAATTTAAACACTTGAACACATTTTCTCATTAACTCAGTACAATATATTATGAAACATGTGTGCATTGTTTTAACACTCATTATTTTCAAACACTCGGCCAAATGTACCAGAAAAGATATATGAAAGTAACAGTACACATCAGTCATTTCAAAAGGCAAAATAACAAAGAACAGAATTACAGACTAGAAGTGATATTAATTTTGATCAAAAAACTTTTTTGCTTTCTTTTTTTTAAATATATTTTTTAGTTGTAAATGGATCTTTTGTTTTATTTATTTATGTGGTGCTGAGGATCGAACCCAGGGCCTCACACATGTGAGGCAAGTGCTTTACTACTGAGCCACAACTCCAGCCCCCCAAAAAAACTTTTGCTTTCTTAAAAATATAAAATCATGATTACACATATTTACTAAAAAACCTTTATCAGCTCTGAGTGTAACAACAATTACATTTTACAACAACAACAATCACATTTTTAGATCACTGACTGTATATTCTAGGCACTCTTCTAACAGTTTTTTACACTTTACATTATTTAATTCTCACAATTCTATGAGATTAAGAGAATTATTATCCTCAATTTACAGACAAAAACTGAAGCACAGAGGTTAAGTAAAATGTCAAAGGTCAGATATAAATAGTAAATGGTAGTTATTTAATTATCTTGAAACCACATACAGACTATTAAAGAATGATTACACTTACACAATATAAGGGAGATGTCTTTCAAACCAAACAGATAAGTTCATTTTAAATTGATGCATTTCTAAAGCATCAATTTTATGCATGTGGGTCTTGCTCCACATCTACTCAGATCCATTTGTTACTGATTTACCTCACTTAAACCAAATCTCAGGTGAGAAAAAAAAAAGCCTGGCTAATAACAGTAAGAGAGAAGATACAATGGGAATAACTATTTGTTTTGCAAAATTATTTGTCATTTTACAATATAATTCATTTGAGGTGTCTTTAAGTAGCAAGCTACCAAACATTCTTTGCCTTAAAAAACCTAGTTAACACTTTCAAACAACACATACGTTCTAAGGGAGAAGGATAACCATACATGGAAAGTTGGGCAAGGCATGACATTCCTGGGTTCTTGGACTTGAAATCAAACATGCAAAAGTTATACTTTCTCTTAGGACATGAGGACACATGAAGAAAAGAATTTTTCTTTTAAACATTCACAATAAATACCAAGACTATGCCATAAAGTAAAAATTAACAACCAGTTCTTATTTATATTTATCTGATCAATTAAGAGTTCTGAATGAAACCTTTTTTATTTCCTTCAACTAGTGTGTGTGTGTGTATAATATAGTATATATTAGTATGTATAAGCATGTTTTCACCATGTTATATATGCTATATATTCACATATATAGTACATATATACTTCTGCATATATAGTGTATATATAAACTAACGTGTACATATATATTATCTGATATTGCTCATGGGAATTATGCCTCAGGCAGAATTTCACTGGTCTGGTATATAAAACCAAAGTATGGTCATTTTTTTTTTTTGTTTAGTTACTGCTAACAACTAAACAAAATAAGTGCTGAGATATTTCTATTTGTTAGCTACTGTTCCTTTTAGAGGTATCAGCTGTGCTGTCTTTTGTTGGCATATCCAAGGAACACAGCTATAATACATGCTTAGCACTTCACAGCTAGGCTTGACTATTAGGTTTCTACGAACATCACTCTGGTTACTTTATGGTCCAATATTCTCCATACAATGCTGTGCCATGACATTTAAGCTATCGATTTAAATGGATCGCAAGGGAGACAAAATGAAAAAAATTTATCAGTGATGAATAGCAGGTGGATGAAGTCAATCAATCTTCAGCTTAAGTTTGTTTTTGTAGTCTCAGGACATACTATAGGGTTTGCATGTAGAAGACACTTAAACTGTTAGGTTATTAGAAAGTGAATAACACAGATGCTTGTTTGATGGTACGTTCTTTCTACTTCCTGAGAACATAAGTAAACACACACCTTTCAAATGGAACACATGCTTACTCTAAGGGACTGGAGTGAAATCATCTGACCACAAATCACGATTTTTAATAGAAAGAACCAAAAAGGTGACATATTTCTAACAAAGCTACTTACCTTACAAACAGAAAGAATATTAATATTTATCAGTTTCTTAATGGCCTGAAAAAAATACAGATAATTTTATATAGATTTGATCATATTAGATATATACTCAAGTAATATTGTGATACATTGGAAGTTTCATGAGATATGGCAAAGACCTTGAAAAAATTATAGGAGTTGGGGTGGAGAGGCAGAGTTTATCTTACTCTTAGTGTTACAGTGTTTTTCTAACAAAAGCAGCAATTCATGCTAATATGCAAAAGACAAGGTAAACGTGCAAGTAAACTATGGAAGTGAAAAGACACATTAAATCCAATATAAATAGAACACTTTGCAATTTCCTCTCTCCTGATATGGAGAGTAGAAATTATTGAGTCTAAGATTTTCAACGGTTTAAAAAAATTTACATAGCCCTTCAATGACATATATTCCTTGTTTTCATTAAAGGATTATGTGCATATCAAGGACGCAGTTTTCCTTCTGGTAGAGTTGGTTTACCTGAATCAAAAATGCTGATAGATATTAACATATTTGATTTTTAAATTGATGTTTAGAATCCTAATACTTAAAATAGAGTTGTCCTGATTTAATAAAAAAATAAAACTAGAACTATTGTTGTTATTGACACTGTATAAATGAGTTCATAAACATTTTCTTATTCAATCTTTTTAACATTCCTATGAAGCCACCTATTTTATTGGTGAGGAAACTAAGTTAGGTTCTTCCCCAGAGAATTCAAGTAGTAAACAGAGGAGTTAAGTGTGAACCTCAGGCAGCTGGACTCCAGTGCTCACAGACTGAATCATTATACAATACTATCTTACCAAGACCTGCATGCATTCTTTTTGTTACCATAGCAGACAAAAAAAAAAAAAAAAAGACTCACATTGTCCAAGTCAGGAATTTCCAAAAAGTATTCAGGATACTCATATGAGATTCCCACATTGTTCACTGAAATAAGACAAAATTGTTAGCTAATATACATTTTACAGATTTATTAAAAACAATGAGATTAAAGCTATCAAGAGTAAAATGATACAATTACATAAAATACTGCTTATGTTTGGGGTAACCTTTCCCACACTTTTCTATTCAAATTTTATACCCATGAAAAGTCCAGTTCAAATGTCTCTTCTTTCGTTTCTTCTGCACTTAGCTAGCATCTAACCCTTGTCAAAAGGACTTCTACTCACCTCTTACTTTCCACAGCCCCTGGAGAGATATGTACTCTCCCTCTGCAACACAGTTATTTGTAGATATTGCTAAACTCTTCTCTACATCTTCAATTTTCATAGTGCAGAATAAGCCACATATGATATGCATCTCGTTTTGTTCACTCTTAAGAGCTTGTGTAGTCATGCCACAAATATTTGCCATATATTTTTGGGCAAGACATGTGCTAGACACTGGGAAAAGTAGAAAGAAACTGCTTCTCATGTGATGGAGTACATAGTCTAGTAGGAATAGAAAGGCGCTCAACCAACACAAACAATTATTTCATGACAAAGTGCAGAGTGCTACGGGAGCCTGTTCCAGCAGAGCCTGACTTCATCTGGGAATTGAGGGAAGGATTCTATGTGCAGCCAGAAAAATAGGTGAGACTGAATACCTCTGATAAATCACCCATCAAAGGCTGAAGTCATGTCTTGGTCTTCCTTGCTTCACGACTCCCCAGTCACCTAGCTTAAGTTTGAGGCTCTAAAACTACTGACATGATCTGAACAAACACACGCAATTAGGCCCATGATTTGAATGCTCAGATATCCTATGGTTTTCTCTAACTCTGGAAAGGCAAAGACAATCCCAAAAAAGGAATAAATACAGGAATTAAAAAATAAATAAACTTCTGGGCATGGTGGCACATGCCTGTAATCCTAGTGGTTGGGAAGGCTGATGTAGGAGGATCAAAAGTTCAAAGCCAGTCTCAGCAACTTATCGAGGCCCTAAGCAACTGTCTCAAAATAAAAAATAATAAGAACTGGAGATGTGGCTCAGTGGTTAAATACCCCTGGGTTCAACCCTGGTACCACTCCCGCCCAAAACCAAAGAAAAAAATAAATACACTATTTCTACATTCGTATCAACTAAGTAACTCGTGAAATGGATTATCTATCTACCTATCTACATTTAATAGATATCAAAATAATTCTATTAAGTAGTTCCTATTATTGTCTCCCTTTTAAAATTTTTTACTTTTTAAAAATGTGTTCTCATAGTTACACACTGAAGTTCACAGCAGTTAAATAATCTTCAAGTCATAGAACAAACTAAGGCAGAACTCAAACTCAGAAAATTGTATTTCAGAGGCAAGGCTCTTAATCAGTACATTAAAGTTGTCATACATCTTCATACATGATTCAATTCCCAAAAAAATCAGTAATAATTGGATAATAAACAAAAATCTGATAATAATGTTTAATACAACTGAAGTATTAGGGGGAAAAAAGTTCATTTGCAAGAAGATAGATTATGATCAATCTGCCAAAACTTACAAGCAATTGTGCCAGATAAGCCTGAGAGTAATAGTAGTAACTTCAATTACTAGTAAGGTAACTATAAGTAACTACAGTAACCTGACAATAACTTTTTCAACAGACTAACAAAATCAGGGGTTCAAAGGAACTCAGTAAGGGTTCTGTGTTAAAGCTAAGCCAGGCTCTTGAGGCACTGTGAGTCTCCAGATTTTACTTGCAAAATTTGGTCAGGATGGTTTGAACAAGACCACTGAAACCTGACTGAAATTTGTAAGAAAGGATAATGGCAAAACAAACTGTTTTTAATTAGATCTATGCCCATTTGAGTAGGGTTAGTATCTAAACGTAACAGCAGGTCCAAATTCATTTTTAGTTTATTCAATAGGTTCTCCCTCTAATGGGGGTCCCAGGGATCAATTCTATAAAATATCTGTTAACAATTAAGTCAAAGCTAGTTGAAGGTAAGGTATTATATTCGTTTGACATTGCCCTAACCATTATGGAATTATAAAGGATGAATAATTTATTTAAAATGTGACCAAGGAAAGGTTTTTCCAGGTGGTAATGTTCTTCATTATTTTTTTTAAATCTATCATGTAGGGCAAATTCCATTTCCCTTCACTCTACCATATCTAGAAAGACTTCTATCCTCATATTTCTTTCTAGCCTATGGAAGTATTAATGCTACATTTCAAAATGCTAAAAAAAATTGAACAGTATACTTATAAATCTTTTAAAATCCAGATGTGGTCAGAATTTTTGCTTTTGTTTTTTAATTGTGGGAGCTTTGCAAGTGGCACAGGAACTTCAGGAGGTTCATGAATAACTAGGCAAGCAATAAGTATTGCTGTGGTTCAGGCTGCACTAACAATAGATAGTCTTCAGATCTGCCTCTGCTGATCGAACAGAGGGAATCTATCAATGCTATCTATTTACACAATATAAACGAGAACATCTATTTAACTTAGCTCTCTATAAGAAAACATGCTCATCACTGAAAACTTTAGCCTGAAGAAATAAATAGTACCATATACAAGAACTATGCCTTTATTAATGTACGTACAGATATTTTTTTAAAAAAGTTAAAGCTAGAATAGGCCTTTCAGAGCATCAAGACCAATTCTTTGAGAGGAAATGTACACGAAGGTCACAATGGCAATTTATCCTGTACTAGGCATGAGGTCACTTAACTTCCTTACTTGCTTTTACTGTGGGGTGCATGCTACCTATCATCTTTCCACAAAAAGCCATCACTTTGGAGTGCTATTATTCAAGAGTTTAGGAAGAAACAGCTGTTGCTTTTATTGGTGTTCAGAAAATGATCCCCCAAAATATGGTGCCTTGGTGTGCTGATAATTTTAAATCAGAGGCATTTGGGAATCAGCAGATTCTGGGTGAAGCTTTTTTCTGAGGTTCCCTTATCTACTTAAACCGGATCCACCAAAGAAGAACACAATTGCCTTCAATCTTCTTATTGAAATTTCATTAACCAAGGAAGATTAAACTCATCACAGAGGAGGAGGCTGAAAACCAAACTCCACACCTAGAGGCTAGAGCAACTTTGTCTCGGGCATTGTCTGTTCTCTGGGCCTATTCATCTCCCCTAAAAATCATCTCCTACCCCTCTAAAGTTGCCTACATTCCCCTTTTCCCTCCCCTGTAAAGAGGGTATTTAAGCTTCAACTCTCTGGCTCTTCTTTGAATTTCATATTTTGTGTGGGGCCCATGCACGTGTGCATATTAATGAATTTGTGTGCCTTTTCTCCTGCTAATCTATTATTGTCCGTTTATTTCAAAAGATTCAATTTCAACTTTAATTTTTTTCAGTTATCTGAAAAACCCTTTCACTTGTGTACTAAACCTTCAGAGAGAAAGCTAGAACTTCCCTACACTCTCAAACAGTAATTTCCATAAACTGCAGAATAGTGTGAATCTTTCGGGGGAAAAGGCAAACCCACTGCAATTTTATTTTGAGACGTTAGATGGCAGCAATAACCAAACAGCAGGCGGAAAGCTTTTGGGGAATGGCAAAAGGAAGAAACAGGCTTTGGGTAGGAGTGAAAAGATGGAAATAGTGCCATTATAACTGAATCTCATTAAGAATGGGTGCAGGCAATGCCATCTCTATATTTTACAAGATTTTTTTATAGTATTTACAACACCAAGCAATGTTACAAGTTGTTCTAACATTACTCAAAAAGGTGAAAATTCCTTCTAAATGGCATTATCTTAAAAATCAGCATTAAATAGTAGATTATTAGTGAGTTTTCCTGAATTTTTCAGGTGAGGCACCAGAAATGGATCTAATTTTTTTCAGTGCCCTGAAAAAAACCCTTTCACTTGTGCATTCTCTGTTTTTCAGAAAACAAAGAATATCTGCATAAGCTCCAAATCCTCATGGTTAGCCCACAATCAGAACAGGACCTTGAACACTAAGGAGATCTTTCCCATCCGTTTCTCTCTGGAATTCTAAGACTGGGAAGAATCCAAGAGAAGAGATGAGGCAGACAGAACAGAGGGGAAGACAGACCCAGAACAAGGACCCAGGGAAGTGGAAAGAGAAGTTGGGCAAGAAGTGATCCTCCTAGAGTTGACCCTGGCAGGGAGAACTGGCAGAGGCCGTGCTCAGCTGTGCTCTCTGCAGCCCCCTCCAGAACTGCACAAAACACTGGGCTCAGTGTAAGTGCTTCATGTTTGAGACATAGAAAATCCAGAGAAATTCTGAATGTTGTTCTAACTTCTATCATAAAACTTTAAAAAATCATTTCCACATCTCTTACTTAGAAAAAAAAAATACACCAGATTCTTGTTTCTTCTAAAGTCATTTGCTGCTGACCTTACTGGACCTAGAATTCTCTATTGAAACCAGCTGCCAGAGATATATAATGTCATTAGAAAATTAGATTTTTGGTATCTGGGTTGAGCATGAGGGAAGAACAAACAATAACTTACTAGAAAAGGAAAAACTACTCATATGGTTAACCTCACACAGACCATCAACCTGCTTTTTTCTAGATTAATCAGAAAGCTAAGAAATTAATGTAGTTTACTTTGCCTAATGGCTGAGCTTCCAAATATAATTCTAATAATGCAAAGTTGTCTCCTCTACTTCCTTCTCATGATATTAAAACAGAAAATGATAAGATCACATTTAAGTTACATTTGTAGTTCTATAAATTAATCCAGTTTTACCGCTTAGTTCATTAGTATAAGATGCTTCTAAAAACTGCTGTCACTAATGAATTTTTGAAATGTACACTTCAGTAATAAAGACTATATCAAAAGAGAGTGGGGGACCCCTCCAGTACTTAATGTTTTAGCTTACATTTTTATAAAAGGGCTGGAGGTATAGTTTAGTGGTACAGCACTTGCATAGCACATCTGAGACCTGGGTTCAATTCCCATAAGGAAATTTTTTTAAATGCCAAAGGATACAGACTACACAAACCCCAGGGTTCAGTCCTGACTCCAGCTTCT